AAAAAAAAAAAAAAAAAAAGGGAAAATGGATGCTGGGGACATGCTCAGCAAATGTCCTCTCTGGTATTCATTTGTTTATTATAAAATTATGCCAAACACGGTGTAGGGGCTGGTGATACACCAGAGAATAAAAAACAAAACCCCCATGGTAGACATTGCTGATGTCCCCTTGACCCACCTGGAACCAGAGTGGACAGCCCCCATTCACGGGGATGGTGCCCACCTCTCTGCATCTGCCCCTGAAGATGTGTTTGGGCCTGGGGACTTCGCCCAGCCCACTTGCAAGGCTGCTGGGTCGTACTGGAGCTTTACTGGTCTCAGGGCAACTTGCCATCCACAAAGGACAGGAGTTGGGGATAAATACTCCAGTTTCCCTACCTCTAGGCAGGACACTCCTGGGGCTGGTTTGACAGGGCTTCTCAGAAGACCCACATGGGGTCAAGCCCAGTTGCCACAGCAGTATACGGAGCTGATCAGAGCCCCTTATTGCTGGTTTTACTCCCTTATCTCTCTTCCCCAACTCCCTCTCTTGTGCTTCTCGGAATCACTTCCCAAAGGAACAGGTGGTGCCAAAGCCCTTGCCTGAGGGTCTCATCTCAGTGGAGCCCAGTCCCAGACCACGCCTGTCAGGGCCTTACGTTCGGATGGCAGAGGCTCTGCAGCGTTAGATGGCAGTACACATGATGGAGGAATATCAAGTGGGGAAGGGGACGCAGCTCGGGGATGGGTGTGAGGCTGCTATTTTGCACAGGGGGTCCAGGAAGGCCTTGAGGAAAAGGTGACACATGTGTCAAGGCCTAAAGAAGGTATTGCACTCAGGTCAAGCTGTATCATGCCAGGTTCACAGGTAAAGTCTAGGCTGCAGAAGCTCAGCGGTTCATTCCCCTGAGACCTCATATCCATTGCAGGTCAGCAGTGGCTTTCTCCCCCCACATCTGCATTTAGCAACCAGCTGAGGAACATCGCTGGTGGTCATGGAAGACAGAAAAAGAATTCTGGAAGGTCTCACACCATTAAGTCAAAGTTCAGCTCTGACCTCGTAACTCATGTCCAGAACCGGGCAAATGCCCACCAACCACAGAAGATGAAGGTACCGTTTACCAAATCTGAGTAGTAAAGAGCTGAAAAGAGTTTGAGAACAGATCTAATATCACCACCATCCACATTCAGACAAAATAAACTCACCCTCTGCCCAGGGGGAAATGTCTGTCACGGCATCAGACTCAATGCCCATCACAAGGTGGTTGGTCTCCATGTCAGGCATGTGCTGGTTCCTCTTGATCCAGGAACCTGTGCACTAAAAAGGCAAGTTGTCTGAACCCATCGCACAATCCATAATGTCTGGCTGTCCACGAAAGGTACAGGGCATACTAAAGGCAAAACACCCAGTCCGAAGAACGCAGGTAAGCATCAGAACCAGAATCAGATACAGCAGGGATGTTGGCCTTTTCAGACCCGGAGATTAAAATAACTGATTATTATTAAGGGCTCTAATGGAAAAAGTAAACAACAAATAATCACAGATGGCTAGTGTGAGCAGAGAGATGGAAATTCTAAGGAGTAATTTTTTTTAAATGATAGAGACAAAAACACTATTACAGAATTGAAGAATGCCTTTGATGGGCTTGTGTAGTAGACTGGACCTGGCTCAGGAAAGGCTGTCTGAGCTTGACGATTTATCGATGGAAACTTCCAAAACTGAAAGGCAAAGAGAAAAAAGACTGGAAAAAAATATTGAACAGAATATCCAAGAACTGTGGACAGCTATAAAGTGTGTAACATATACATACTGGGAATACCAGATACTCATTCCTCCAAGACTGATGGAACCGTTAAGTCCTGGAGACTCACTTTTAGGTAGGTTCTGGGTTCCGGAGATACCCCAGTAAACAGAACAGAACCACCTTGTGGTGAGGAGAGAAAGTGACAATGAACAAATGTCTAGGGAAAAAAATCTAGAGAGTGTATCATATGGAGTTCACTGCATTGACCCTCAAACAATATGGGGATTAGGGGCGCTAACCGCGCCCCCCCAGTCAGAAACTCAAGTATAACTTCTGACTACCCAAAACTTACGTACTAATAACCTGCTGTTGACCGGAAGCCATGCTGATAACAACACATATTTTGTATAATTGTACAATAAAGTAAGCTAGAGAAAGAAAATATTATTTCAAAGTGTTGCAAACTTTCAGAAAATCTTCCAATATACTTATTTCAAAAAATCCACATACAATGGACCCACACAGCTCAAGAGTGTGTTGTTCAATGGTCAACCATACATAGAGTGGAGTAAGGGAAACAGAATCTGCCTAGCAGGAGTGGGAATGGTATTTTTTGCAAGATACTCAAAGAAACCTCTCTGAAAAGGTCATGTTTGAGCAGATACCAGGCAAAGGTGAGGGAAATACAGTACAGTACCCAGTATAAGAGCATTTCAGTTGGAAGGAACAGTAATGCAAAGGCCCTGAGGAGGGAATGTACCTCACGGAAAGGCAAGCAGGGCAGCAGGCTGAAGCAGAAGGAGCAAGCCGCCGATCACTGAGGTCTCTGGGGTGACGGGGCAGGCTGCTGGCCACTGAAAGGACTAATTTTCTGTGATGGGTATGTGGTCTACTGGGCACAGGGAGTCAGAGAGTGAAATGGCTTGATTTCTATTCTAGAAGGATTGTTCCAGCTTCCATGGGGAAAAAAAATTTTAGAAGCCAAAGGCAGAAACAGGAAACAGTGTAGGAGGTCAGTGCCAAAATTCAGTTAAAAATGATGATGGTTTAGATGGATGAATGGCAATAGAGGTAGAAAAGGTGGTGGGAATCCAGGCACATTCTGAAAGCAGAGACAGCAGCTTTGCTGATGGACTGAAATGTCCTGCATGAAGGGAGCAGAGAGTTCAGGGTGATGGCCAGGTTCTGGCCTGAGCTGTTAGAGGGATGGGGTTTCCATTTACCTAAAAGGCAAAGATGCAACAGGGACAGATTTTGGGGGCATACTAAGGACTTAGTGATGATGTGTTAGGTCAGAGATGCCACCAGACGCCTGCCATGGATTGAATCCTGTCCCCTCCAATTCGCCTGCCAAAGCCCTACCCCCACAAGGCTGTATCAGGAGATGGGCCTACGAGGAGGCAATCAAGGCCAAATGGGTCACAGGGTGGGGCCCTGACCCCTTGGGACTGGCCCTTGGAAGACGAGGCAGAACACCAGAGCTCTCCCTCTCCACACCCACAGAGGAAGGGCCGCGTGGGGACACGGCGAGAAGCAGCTGTCCACAGGCCAAGCAGAGAGGCCTCTAGAGAAACCCCCCACCCACACCTCGCCCTGGGCCTCCAGCCTCCAGCCTCCAGACCGTGAGGAGGTCGTTCTCCTGTGTAGGCCCGCCCCACGCACCGCCCGCGGGGAGATGCTGAGTGAGCCGGTCCCCAAGTCTGCAGTTTGGTGGCAAGCCCCGGGCCAGTCAGAGTTAGGCACATACATGACATTTGAAGCCATGGGAGAAAATGAAGTCATCCTCGGAATGAGCTTGGAGAAGAAGAGGCTTCAGAAGGTTCCTTGGGGTGCTCAGGGCCTGGGGAATGAGTGTTACCAGAAAGGAGTGGCTGGTGGGTGGTGAGAAACAAGAGCAGCATGTTCTGGAAGCCAAGAGGAACCAACGCGGCCCTTGCTGTTGATGGAGGCAGCAAGACAAGCACCCAGGACCACGTTGGCTCTGACCCTAGGCCGCGGGTGACCTGTTGGACAGCGGCCAGCTGCAGAGTGGGGAGGCCACGGGAGGTGGCAGCGGGCAGCTCGCCCCAGGTTCCCACTTAGAGGACACAGTCAGTGCAGCACATGTTGGGAAGGACATGAGGCCAGAGCAGAAACGCGGGACTCTGTCCTTCCCGGGTGGCAGTGCCTGTGCTGCAGATGCACCGTGGGACCCAAGGAGCTTGGCAGGTGCATGGGGCTGGACCAGTTGCAAATGGGGAGGCCCAGCTGTGGCCACCCAGCTGGTCAGAAAGGGGT